TGACTTAATATGATATTCTGTGTGAATTTTTTAAGTCATCTAACCTACATTGTATATTAAATAAATGTTTGCGGGAATTTTCCAAACGTGCGAAACCTGCGAAAATGAGTAAAAAAAAAATGCGCAATCCCGCACCGAGATTCAGGACGTGATTAAACATATATTCTATTAGAGATTTGTCAAATAAATTTCCACTTTTCCAAAGCTTTCTGGGTTTTTCATGACCGTACGAACCCTGTAAATGGCTATTTTTATTTTTTTAAATCGTTTTGATGAAATTTATGGAGGTAGTGAGACGGGACAAAGTCCCTGTAGGCCTAAAATATTAGGGTATTCTATAGTCTTTGGACGGGAGAGAGCGCTCAAAACTCTTCAGATTAATTTAGTGGAACATTAATATAATATAGAATCATCCTCTGTAAAGAAGTGAGGCGTGAACCTGTGAGAATTTATCATTATCTGTGTAAATGTGCGCTCTTTTGGGCTAAAGGCTTAATGGAACCGTTAAGTAGCCATGTGGTCACAAATTAATCGGCGATTCGGCGCAGCGCAGACGTGATTTAATACGTGTGTCCTTTTTCTATGTGAAAAAAAAATCACAAATTCCAGTTTATGCTGTTTGGTTATTGCTTCGAATGTCGTAGTTGGAAGCTGGAAGTTGTTAGCCCCGGCTAGCCCTTGTGCGCAGTTGAAATGCGGCTAATAATTTCTGACTGGCACATAACTGAACAAATGTAAACGGGTTAAGGCGGGGCCCCTGGGCTGCAGCCCATTCAAGCCCAGTGGTAAGTCCGGCCATGATTATTTATCTCAAAGGAGTATAGTCTGTGGTCCATAGCGCCATCTGCTGATTGCCGTGGCATATATACAGTGGGTACGGAAAGTATTCAGACCCCCTTAAATTTTTCACTCTTTGTTATATTGCAGCCATTTGCTAAAATCATTTAAGTTAATTTTTTTTCCTCATTAATGTACACATAGCACCCCATATTGACAGAAAAACACAGATTTGTTGACATTTTTGCAGATTTATTAAAAATGAAAAACTGAAATATCACATGGTCCTAAGTATTCAGACCCTTTGCTGTGACACTCATATATTTAACTCAGGTGCTGTCCATTTGTTCTGATCATCCTTGAGATGGTTCTACACCTTCATTTGAGTCCAGCTGTGTTTGATTATACTGATTGGACTTGATTAGGAAAGCCACACACCTGTCTATATAAGACCTTACAGCTCACAGTGCATGTCAGAGCAAATGAGAATCATGAGGTCAAAGGAATTGCCTGAAGAGCTCAGAGACAGAATTGTGGCAAGGCACAGATCTGGCCAAGGTTACAAAAAAATTTCTGTTGCACTTAAGGTTCCTAAGAGCACAGTGGCCTCCATAATCCTTAAATGGAAGACGTTTGGGATGACCAGAACCCTTCCTAGAGCTGGCCGTCCGGCCAAACTGAGCTATCGGGGGAGAAGAGCCTTGGTGAGAGAGGTAAAGAAGAACCCAAAGATCACTGTGGCTGAGCTCCAGAGATGCAGTCGGGAGATGGGAGAAAGTTGTAGAAAGTCAACCATCACTGCAGCCCTCCACCAGTCGGGGCTTTATGGCAGAGTGGCCCGACGGAAGCCTCTCCTCAGTTCAAGACACATGAAAGCCCGCATGGAGTTTGCTAAAAAAACACCTGAAGGACTCCAAGATGGTGAGAAATAAGATTCTCTGGTCTGATGAGACCAAGATAGAACTTTTTGGCCTTAATTCTAAGTGGTATGTGTGGAGAAAACCAGGCACCTGTCCAATACAGTCCCAACAGTGAAGCATGGTGGTGGCAGCATCATGCTGTGGGGGTGTTTTTCAGCTGCAGGGACAGGACGACTGGTTGCAATCGAGGGAAAGATGAATGCGGCCAAGTACAGGGATATCCTGGGCGAAAACCTTCTCCAGAGTGCTCAGGACCTCAGACTGGAACTAAGGTTTACCTTCCAACAAGACAATGACCCTAAGCACACAGCTAAAATAACGAAGGAGTGGCTTCACAACAACTCTGTGACTGTTCTTGAATGGCCCAGCCAGATCCCTGACTTAAACCCAATTGAGCATCTCTGGAGAGACCTAAAAATGGCTGTCCACCAACGTTTACCGTCCAACCTGACAGAACTGGAGAGGATTTGCAAGGAGGAATGGCAGAGGATCCCCAATTCCAGGTGTGAAAAACTTGTTGCATCTTTTCCAAAAAGACTCATGGCTGTATTAGATCAAATGGGTGCTTCTACTAAATACTGAGCATTTTTCAGTTTTTCTTTTTTAATAAATCTGCAAAGATGTCAACAATTCTGTGTTTTTCTGTCAATATGGGGTGCTGTGTGTACATTAATGAGGAAAAAAAATTAACTTAAATGATTTTAGCAAATGGCTGCAATATAACAAAGAGTGAAAAATTTAAGGGGGTCTGAATACTTTCCGTACCCACTGTATATAGTAGTGTATATAATGTTACAGGTTATACTTAGAAGGTGGCATTCTTATGCGTAATTATTTATTCTAGTTAATTTATTTACTTTTTAAAATATTTTTATATTAGGTTTTTATCTATTTGTTTTTCTCTTTATATTTCTTTTTATTATTTATGTATTTATTGTTTTTTGGCCTGATTATTTTAGTAGAATATTATTGTGTTTTGTATTCTGGTTGTGTATGTATTTTATTGCTTTGCATCAACCTGAGTCACATATTGTTCAATAAAACAATATTTCTGTATGTATCCCCTGTGAATGTTATGTGCTAAAAAAATCTAGTGTTAGACGTAGGGTGTAAATTACCAGTAAAAAGAATGCAAAACGTTTTAAACCACTGTTGGAAAAAAGTCCATCCACATTCACAATAGAAACACGGTCTAAAAATGTATATGCGTTTCCCTATCTTAAAAGAAATAACGTATTTCTCACATTGTAAACATACCGGTTGACAGGACAGCGCCACATTGGAATGTTCCATTTCGGCCTAAAAAACGGGGGTGCCGGGGTTAGTAAAATACTTTTAGTTGTTTGTATTGCTAATAATATATACAATTTGTCAAAGTATTTTAAAATTAAGAATATGTGTTGTTCAACAAATATATCTAAATAATTCTACCTGCTGAAATATTCATTCTTATATTCAGGACTGATAGAAAGTGTACACTGACTGCTGCGTGAGTTCAGACAGACATGGCGCTGCGAGGACTGAATGCTTGCGCTCGTATTATGCTGACCGATTCATCCAGAGCTGCAGTGCTTCGAGGAGCCATTAAATCAGACTGCGTAAAATGTCGACATGGAGGTAATATGCGCACAACTTTGGTATCCGTTTAAGCTGGCTTTAGCCAACAAGCTGAGAACATACTGTAGAAAGTGGCGTTAAAAAGTAAAGGCCATGGTCATTAAGAAGTAGATGAGCTATTCTAGCATAAACACACACACCCCTAAGTGTAGAGAATATATATCGACTTGATTACAACACTGTTATTCTCACAGATGAAAATGTATGAGGACTGAATTATTTGTCACTGTCCCCCTTCTTTTCATGTGTTCCTTGCCGTTTTTATTTACATTATCTGTCTGTGTTACTGTCCTGCTGGAAATAACCCTAAAACGCCAAACCCTAAGTTTGCTTCCCAGCCTGATCAGGTAAAAAGTGCCCATAACCTGCTAAAAACCAAATTAGCTTGTTTAAATTTTTGTTCAGCAGGGTTTAAATGTGATGAAGGTGGTCAAACAAATGACAGCCCCTCTGATACAGCTTAACATTTGGGTTCCCTCTCGAGCTTTCACAAGACATCACTGAGACATTTCTCCGTTATGGGAACTCCTTCCTTTCCAACCTTTCTGAAGTCCTATTGGCTCAAGCCAGTCCAAATGACTGGCCAATTGTCTCGACGTATGCAAATCGCATGCAAATACTGATGAGTTCAAGAGGCATTATACAATGCAGTGCACGCGACAATTACGTCAGAATCTTCTACTTCACTTGCTGAATTCATTCTGGCTACAGTCTGCAAGATCTGAGCAGGACCAATAGAGCCGCCGGATCAACACGACCACTGCGTCGCCTGTCTGGGCCTGGCCCACGCCGAGGCGGCGCTGGATGAGTCCGAATGCGGGCATTGCGCGGACCTGGTATTTCAGGTCCACCCGGAAAGCTGACTCGAGGGTGTCGGTCCCCTTCTTCCCCAACGTACATGAGCAGCTGGTGAAAACGTGGTCTGCGCCCCAATCGGCGCTCGTCCACTCTGCCACACAGGCCATCTTTTCCCACGTGGATGGGGTGGAGGCCCACGGGTAAGTGCGCTCTCCCCCCCGTCGAGGAGACTGTCGCTGCGCACCTGTGTCCTGCAGCAGCCTAGGCTCGGACATCAGCCTCCCCTCGAAGCCGTGCAGGACCACCACCCACCTCGCTAATAAAGCGTATGCATCTGATGGCGAGGCGGCTTCCGCACTGCACACCATGGCGGTGCTGCAGGTTTTCCAGGCAAAGCTCCTGCAGGCGGTGGAGGGCGGAGGCCATTAAGGATCTGTGTGCAGCGACGGACTTTGCGCTGATGGCGACGAAGCGAGTGGCCCAGGCCGTGGGTAAGGCCATGGGTTTTATGGTCGTCCTTCAGATGCACCTATGGTTAAACCTGGCTGACCTCAAGGATGCTGACCGTAAAGTGCTGCTGAACACTCCTGTGACTCCCTCCGGCTTCTTTGGTGACGCCATGGAGTCCATTATTGAACGCTTCGTGGAGGCTCAAAAGCGCGCCAAAGTCATAAGTCGCGTGATGCGGAGGCACGCTTTCCAGCAGTAGACGGCGAGATCTAGGTTCTCGTCGGCACTTGGATCTTCCCAACGGAGGGATAACCCCAGGCCAGCGACCGCGGCGGTGACTGCTATTGTTCCTCGCCAGGAGCCGGATGTCCGGAAGAAGGCGTGGGGTCCCGGGAGGAAGCGCCACGGCCAGCAGAGGAGCCCTCGATGTGACTGCTGTGTTGATGATTGTGACGAGTGGGGGCGGGGCCGAGAGCCGTGGGAATGGAGCCTGGTCCTCTCTCCTCCAACACTGTCGTCACTCCTCCCTTTTATCCTTCCGGAGCTCCTCCGTGAGACTCGAGACCAGTGAGTGGTGCAGATGACGCTCATTATCAATTACTCCACCGGCCTCGCTCCGTTCCCACGGCTCTCGGCCCCGCCCCCACTCGTCACAATGATGACTACTCCTGTGACTGCTAAAGCAGTTGTCCTGATGGTCTGAAGAGAGGAGGAGAGTGTGCAAGCGGCCCGGCTTCCAAGCGCAAGTTGATGTGTTCAAATGTTTGTGTGTTGGATGTTCATTCAATAAAAATGCATACATTCTCACAAAAAGAGTTCTTTCCTCCTTACTCAGTCAATGCGGTGCTGCTCGCCCCACCTCAGAGCAGTGCGCAGCCGCTGCCCACACAGGTTATAGTCGCGTAGCACTCGCCGACGCATCTAACGACGAAGCCGCTAAAGCCGCTATGTCAGTTCCTGAGCGCATGGGAAGTTATTCCGGGAATCTCGCGCTGGCTACTCGGTGTGATAGAGCGTGGGTATACCCTTCAATTCAGACGCAGACCACCCCATTTCAATGGTGTAGTGCAGTCTCAAACATTGCCTCGAAATGCACCGGTTCTGAGACTAGAGGTATGCAGTCTGCTCAAAAAAGGAGTGATAGAGTGAGTTCCGCCGAGCGAGCTGGAGAGCAGGTTTTACAGCCGCTATTTCGTGGTACCCAAAAGAGATGGGGGACTCCGTCCGTTCAGGATGATAAAGCTGAAACAGATCCTGGTGCAAATTCGCCCCGGGGACTGGTTTGCGTCCGTTGACTTAAAGGACGCGTAATTTCACATTCAGATAGCACCGCATCACAGACGCTTTCTGAGGTTTGCTTTCGTGGGCACAGTGTACCAATACTCCATTCTCCCGTTTGGGCTGGCTTTGGCCCCACGCACTTTCTCGTAGTGCATGGATGCAGCACTTTCCCCCCTCAGAGCGAGCGGGATGTGCGTTCTCAACTATCTGGACGATTGGCTGATTTTAGCTCAGTCCCGGGACACGCTAGTCAGCCATATAGACACACTGCTTCGTCACTTGGGAGTCCCTAGGGCTATGTGTCAACATGCAGAAGAGCCCCGAGTCAGTCTATAACATATCTGGGGGTGTGCTTCGTGGCTGCATTGAAGCTCTGAGACCGTGGCGCAACCCAGATCTCTTCAGCCGGGGGGTTCCCCTGGGCTTGGTGATGTCACGCGTTGTGGTCACGACGGACGCATCGACTGGCGGTATTCGGTAATGCTATAAAGCAATGCCAGCTTCGGGGCTGTGGTCAGAACCCCAGAGCCTTCTAAATACCGTGAATAATTATATATTACAAATTATTCCGAATTTTGAATGCATTTTAAGAATACTTTTCCCATCAACTGGTCAAAATGCACAACACCGCTGTATGCTGCGTGAAAGACGCGTGCGCACTCTGATGTAAACAAGCGCGGACGAGAAGCACATGGCGGAACATGTGAGAGACGCTCTGGATGAAAGCGCACTTTCACTCTCTGACAGCAGATGGCGATAAAACTGCAGAAATTATAATAATAATAATATAATAATTCATTTAAATGCAGCCTTTACCCCGGAAACCCTGTAAACAAAGCAGCTGCACTACTTTCTGTTTCTGAAAGGTGTTTAAATGATTTAAACAGCCATTCAGATTTGTGTATTTGCTATGATGTTCATCACAGCGCCAAATACTTAAATATTTAGACTTAATAGGCTATTTATTTTCAAACTTTTTTTTACATTTTAATCTGGACTACAACATGCCCTAGATATTGTTTGAAAGTGTTTTGATTCTTTATTGTTCGGTCACACTTTACATTAGGGCTTCATTAGTTAACATTAGTTAATTCATTAGTTAACATAAACTGCCAATGAAAAATTCTTCTGAACATTCATTAATCTTAGGTATTCCAATATTTAATAACACGTTGTTAAAATCTAAAGTTGCAACTGTGTTATTTAATGAGCTAACATGAACTAAGACTTGTATTTTTTAAACAAGGATTAATAACTTCTGTAGCAAATGTTGCTATTGCTCATTGTGAATGTTAATGCATTAACTAAGGTTAACTAATGAGGTCTTATTGTAAAGTGATACCTATTGGTCTTTATAGTTCTTTTGCACTTTAATCTGTGTAAAATTTTTTACTTTATACATTTTTCTGTATTGCTTTATTGCATTTAAATGTTCAGTTATTTTTGTTATAAGAAAAAAGTTAGTAAACCTGTTATACTGTATTATGACAGCACTTAAACTAAATTTCAATATCGTGATAATACCGTATACCGTGATAAAAGCATTAGCAATTAATCGCAACATGAGAATTTGATACCGGCATATCCCTACGACGGACGCATCGACTCGCGGATGGGGAGCAGTGTGCAAAGGCATGCCGGCTTCAGGGCTGTGGTCAGAATCTCAGAGCCGGTGGCACATAAACCACCGGAGCTGAAAGCAGTGTTCTTAGCTTTAAAGTAGGGCTGCACGATTAATCGAATGCGATTGTCATGCGCATTTTGATAGTAATGCCGGTTCTGTAACCATCTGAAAGCATGTGAAAATACCACATTTAATAACATATTTTTACTCCAAACTCACCTCATAACGTCTGTTGAGTGTTTGAAATAAATCCTTCTGTGAGATGATGTGACTTCTTGCACAGAATAAGGCACGCAACATATTTACCGTGCTTCACTGAAAGATACGCATGACAATCGCAGCTTCTGTCGAATCGCGATCTCGATTCCATTTCGATTTATCGTGCAGCCCTACTTTAAAGGATTTTCGGCCACAGCTGGAACAGCGGCACGTACTGATTCGCACCGACAACATGTCTGTGGTCTCGTACATAAATCACCAAGGAGGCGTACGCTCCAGGGCTCTGTACAAGCAGGCAGCGAATCTCCTGCTATGGGTGGACCGTCACATTCTCTCCATCAGAGCAGCGCACATACCCGGTCTCCTGAACCGTGGGGTGGACATGCTCTCGAGGAAAGGGATTCCTCAAGGAGAGTGGAGGTTGCACCCCGAGTCGGTTCGGATGATTTGGACCCGGTATGGGAGAGCGGATCTGTTCGCCACGAGCGAGACCATCAACACCATCAACACTGAAAGTCTATGTGGCCGCTATTGCCTCATTTCGTTCCCCGCTGGGCGGGCAATCAATCGGTAGGCACGCGCTGGTGGTGAATTTTCTTAAGGGAGCAAGGAGATTGCATCCCCCGTGTCCGCCTTCAGTTCTGCCCTGGGACCTAGAGGTGGTGTTAAGAGCTCTTTCACAGCCACCATTCGAGCCTTTAACATCCGTTGATATGAAGGAGCTATCTCTCAATACTGCACTTCTTCTTGCCCTCGCTTCGGCTAAGCGCATAGGGGATTTACATGCGTTTTCTGTGGACAGCGACTGTATTCGCTTCGGACCTGGTGACTGCAGCATCACTCTCCGGCCGAGACCGGGCCACGTGCCTAAACCACTATCTACCCCCTTCAGAGCTCAGACTGTTTTGCTGTATGCCCTGTCTTCTGAGTCATCGACCTCGTGTGGTGCGGACGCTCAGACTTCGGTGTGTCCTGTCAGGACTTTGAGGGTTTACATTGACCGTTCGGCCAGCTTTCGGCAATCTAACCAGCTTTTCATGTGCTACGGTGTTTGTGTGCAAAGGGCCGGGCCGTGTCAAAACAGAGACTTTCCCACTGGATTGTGGACGCTATCACGTATGCTTATACGAGCCAAGGTTTGGAATGCCCTTTGCACATTAGGACCCACTCAACAAGGGCTATCGCTTCCTGCTGGGCGTGGTCGAGAGGTATGTCAAGATATATGCTTTGCAGCCGGCTGGTCTCAGAATACCTTCGCCAGGTTTTACAAGCTGGACGTTCAGTCCTTAGCCTCCCAAGTGCTGTCGGTGAGTGACTGATTCACGTTTATGCTACCTCTATTTGTGTGTCTATTGCTGCCTTGCACAGTATTACTCTGTGCTATTGTTGTTGTTGTCTGCCCTGTACTCACTGCAGCTTCCTGTTATTCATGTCTGATTCACAGTTATCTCTGTGCAGCCATTCCAGTACTGTTGTTGCTTCTGCCCTGTTCTCAGCGCTGCCTACGTTATTACTGACTGTCTGACCAGATATGCAAATTTAGTATACCTGGGTTTTAGAGGCTCATTGGCCTATTTCCACCTATCAGCTGCGAGCCCGCCTACAAGTGTCGCTATTGGTTATGGGAATTGTGTGTGTGTTCTATCTTTGCTGAGTATATGACTTGTACAGGCTGCTCGTAGACTTTCTCACGGCGGGATTGAATATCGTTCCCATAACTCCGTGATAGGGCTGCACGATTATGACAAAAATCATATTTGTCAATTATTCTCTTGAAATTGTGATTGCGATTATTAATTACGATTATCACAGTTTACACTGAGTGATCATTGTTTGAAGCAACTGCATTCTCTATTTTTATATGAAAATAAACAAGCTGAAAACACTCTAACTGAAAAAATTAAGCCTCAAATGTCAACTATACATTGGATTGGTTTCTTCTTTATTTAAAAAAAAAAGTAAAAATATACATTGTATTATAATGTTATGCTAAAACTAAAATGAAAACAATGGAAAAACCCTTGAGATAACCTGTAGATTGCATGTCTTAAGCATGCACAATAACATAAGTGGACTTTGAATGATTAATTGTCGCTTTGAGCAATTACATAATTGTGGCATCCGTAATTGTAATCGCGATTAGAAATTCGATCAATTGTGCAGCCCTACTCCGTGATGTCTCGTGAAAGCTCGAGCGGGAATGTCTATCGTACTATCGTAACCTCGGTTCCCTGAGAGCGGGAATGAGACATCATGGAGGTCGCCGTGTTCGCTGCTCGACCAGCTAAGCGGCGTTCAGTTAGTATCAGATTCTGACGTAATTGTTGCTTGCATCGCATTTTATACTGCCTCTTGAGCTCGTCAGTATTTGCATGCAATTTGCATACGTCGTGACAATTGGCCAGTCATTTGGACTGGCGTGGGCCAATAGGACTTCAGAAAGGTTGGAAGGGAAGGAGTTCCCATAATGGAGAAATGTCTCCGTGATGTCACATTCCCGCTCTCAGGGAACCGAGGCTACTATAGTAACCGGAGACGCTTTCCAACAATTGCTAAGAAACTGACTTGTTTACAAATGCTCTTTTTAGCTAAACGTTATCTCTTGTCTGAAGATGTGGTGAAGCTGCAGGATTTTCAGCAGAGGAAACTTGCTGTTGCCCACCAAGTGTCAAGATCAAAAGGCAGGCATCATTTGCCATGATTTAAATAACTTTGTACCACTTTCTGGTGTTTGAATATCATTACTTTAAGGGTGCACTCAGTCATATTTGTCTCATTAAAAGAAATTAGTAGAACTTATCAAAAACATTTACACCCACATGAGATTGCATTTAGACTGCAGTGTGCAGTCATATCAAAAGCCGTTTTATTTTACATGATAGTGGGTTGCCTCGTAGGAGCCAACATGAGATCGCATGACCAGCTGACTACTACTTCATTTATCTCATTATCTCTGTTATCAGATAATTTGACTTGTGGAATTAATGAATCATGGCTGGTAGTGATGCGTGATGCTATTGCAATATTCATGCCTCACATGTCTACAACTGTCCTATTGGCCAGAGCAACATAAACAAAAAGCAATGAGTGCACCTTTAATTGTCATTTTCTCATTTACCCTAAATGTCACTTTTTTTAAAAACAGGTTATTACTTTGATACAGTAAATCAGAAAATGGAGAAAAAACAGCTCATTTTAAAGGATGAATTGAAAATACTTCTGTATTTATGCCAGTCTGCTGAAGATGTTTTTATGGCGAGAAATGCTATGTACAGGTAAATCTGCCTCAAAAATGTATGTAGGGAATTGGACACTATTTATATTATAATAAACTATGTTTATGTTTATCCAAAGAGCAAATTCATAGTGATTTAACGGCATTCAGCATAATCTTTATCTGAATATTTTTTTAAATATTTAATATTATTCTGTTTGTGTTAGAGATTATTTAGATGTCTGCATAATTTCTGCATATGGATATGTTTTTGTATATATTATAACACTGTTCTCTTTTAATTTCTGTCCGTTGCAGGTACCATGAAGAGAATCGTAACATGGCATTTGGGGAATTCAAGTTTGGCCCTCTTTTCATGAGGTTATGCTATGAGCTGGGTTTAGAGGAGCTGGGAGCCAGAACCCTGACAGATCCAGTATGTGAAAATGAACACAAATTTTACACCATGACTATGGACATGAATTGTAGTGAGATTTGACATTGTCTTTTTTGCATAGGCTCTCAAAGGATTCTTTTCAGACTCTACATCCTTTAATATTGCTATCGACATGCTTTTCACTAAACAGTGTTACAAAAGTAAGTTTCTTCTGCTTATCTCTCTGTTCTGCTGGAGTATGAAACAATCAATACGATTTGTATTGTGCTCCCATTGCCCTTGCTGTTGGTTCAAAAAATTTGTATGACATAAAGAGCTGACACATCTGAAAATTTAAAAGGCCAGTGAGACAAATGCTTGTGATTCATGAGGGAATCGATCACCACAATCAAATACTTCACCAATGCTGCTTCCTATCTGCAAAAATGCAAAATGGTCTGTCTGTTGCCATGGTTTCAGTCTATGTGATGTGGGTCACTGATGATGTTCTCACAGGTTGCCTGGAGGTGGTGGGAGAAATGAAAAAACAAGGAGTGCCATTCAGCAAAGACACCTTCGTACTAGCCTTTGCAACTTGTTATAAACTGGTAAAGGAAATGTAGAAGCAAGTATTGAATGCTAGTTTGTATTAAAGCCATTAAGAATTAGCAAAGAGTTACTTGAATCCCAGAAAAGACAAACTATTTTCAGAACAATAAAATATCTACGATTTTTCTAAACAGGTACAATGTTTTGGCTTGTTTTTAGACCGTAGCTTCTCACGGTAATTTCAAGTATTGTCAAGGACAAAATAATTTAATAAGTATAATTTATAAACTATTTCTGTATCTTGGGATTGGCAGAACACCTCAAAGTCGTATCATATCTGTTTGACCCTGTTGGAAGAAAGTCAGACAAAAGGCAGCCTCATTCCTCGACATGCCTACTGCTTTGCAGCTGCTCTTGCTCTCAAACAGGTAAGCTGACTGAAATATCTATATCTAATTTCAAATTAAAGGATAAATGTATGGTATGTAATGCCTTAAATCGAGTAGATTGGTGTAATATCAGATTTTAGTTGTTAAAAGTTATTCAGATATTGTGTAATTATCATTGAATCACAGACAATGTTGCATTTTTGATATACTAAGAGTATGCCATGTTATATACAGTATAAAATAATTTGACATTAACAGTAAATCACTTTTCATTTTACCTGATATATGTTGTAGAATGATATAGAGAGAGCCCAGGCATTCTACTCTCAGATAATGAGCACGGACAGTCGGCTGTGCCAGAACCTAAGGGTAAGTGTGTGTGTGTGTGTGTTTTTATCTAAATCAGCCTTTGAAAGAGCTTGCATATGTTAACTGCTCTGTTTTTAGGTTCTCATATTGGCTATGAAAGGGTCCATGAAAGAAGCAGTCTCTGCCCTCACAACAGCCCTAGTGTCAAAGACTCCAGTGTTTGTGAAGAAACCAGAGTTCTCTCAGGAAGTGGTGAGATATCAGATACACCAGTCAAGTTTGGACACACCTAGTTTACACCTCATAATTATTACTACATTTAACGGTAATAGTAAAGTCATCAAAACTATTAACTAACACAAATGGAATTATGCAATCACCAATGTTAGCTATGTACAGTCGTGGCCAAAAGTTTTGGCAGTGACATAAATGTTGTGTTTTGCAAAGTTTGCTGCTTCAGTATTTGTAGATTATTTTTTCACGTGTCTATGGTATACTGAAAAACAATGATAAGCATATCATAAGTTTTAAAGGCTTTTATTGGCAAAAAATAAATAAATACAATGAGTCAATATTTACAGTGTTGACCATTGTTTTTCATAACCTCTGCAATTCGCTCTAGCATGCTGGAAATTTGCTTCTGGGCCAAATCCTGAACGATGGCGAT